CTCCAGCAGCTGCTGTCATTTTAGGGAAATGCCCTGCTCTTCCTTGCACATATTCTCTCTGAAATCTCTGAATCCTTGGCCGTTGAGTTTACCTGGTACATCATACTACCCAGGTGTCTTATTTGCTGAAAATGCCCTGAAAGCTCTCCTTTGAACTTTTTTTTTTATCATTCAGGCACATTTTGAAGCCAGAATTCTGTCTTCTCACCCCAGAACTGGAGTGGAGATGGGTGAGAAGTGCAGATTCCCAGGCAGAAGCCCACTGCCTCCACGGGGAGGATGGAAGTGCCCTGAGCTGCCTTTAGTGTCCTGTGGGCTGATGTTAATAACAAGTGGGAGCAGGCTGAGAGAGGATTGAGGTTGGAGCTCTCTCCAGCCTCAGAGGGCTTCAAGCTTTGGAAGGAGCCTCCTTGGTCTGTTTCTGGTGCCTTCTGCCTTGCCAGCTATGCTGGGCAGAGCTGTGGTGAGGTTCCATCTGCCCACAATGCCATTTTTGGTTTCCTCTTCCACCCTCTCAGAGTATGATCCATGGAGTTCTCATCACCTTGCAGGCTCAGTCTGCACACCTGATGCCTTGAGAGGCTACCTAGAGTTAAAGGAATAAAGTAGAGATTTATTAAAAGGCCTTCACAGGATACTCCTTGGGCAGTACAAGAGCCTGGCCACGGCTACACCCAAGGTGGACAATGGGTCACGAATTTTCACACTTTTATAAGTTTTGGTCCATTTCCGTATTGGGGTCAATTGTCCAATTCCAGCTGCAGGTGATGCAGTCCCATCCTCCCAGATTGCTCTCCTTGGTTTGCTGTTGTTGGCACTTTTTGGGCCTGAAGCTGCAATGGTGTCCTCAGTTCTCAGGCTGGAAAAGAATTGTTTGGTGTGACTGAACTGTGAGGAGAACTTGCTAACACTTTGTTTAATTCAGAGTTATGTACTAATGCAGTGCAGAATCTGTAAAATATGAAAGCTAAAACTTAAGGCATCCCTCCATGGCATTGGGCACCCATTTTTGAGTACTTTGCTGGAGAGAGATTGGATCACTCAGGAGTTCTGTCTTCAGCACACTGCCTTGACTTGGGGTCTGGAATCACTGCCTTCAAAACATCACTGTGAAAGAATAGGGGATTTGCCAGTTGCCCCAACACCTCAGTCAAAAATCTGAAACCTTAAATTGTTTAATCTGGCATTCCTAGCTTCATAATGACTGAAAAGAAAGAAAAAAACCTCGTATATTTCTATTTTTCCTTCCTAAACATTAGAAAAAAGTTTCTGTTTTTGGCAGAGATTTTGTGGGCTAACTTTCAGGGCGAAATACTGGGGTTTGAGTAGGGGATTCTAATGGAAAAGCTGAGCAACAAATTCACACAAGGTTCTTCTTAATTACAGAAGCCAAAAGCTCTTCCAGATGTCTGTCAGCCCTGCATGCTAGATGCTGCCATCACTGGTTTTAATAAAAGCTCATATTCAGCAAACTTTTATTACTGATTTACTGTACACTGCTTAAGCCAGAAAATGTTTTTTCTCTAAAAAGAAAACAAAGACCTGATATTTTCATCAGTTGCACTCCAGCATGTCATTTACTGTGTTAAATACCAGCCCTGTTCCATTATTTGACTGTTTTCTGTAGCTTGCCATCATTAAAACTGGAATTTCAGAAACTCTTGTCAAGAAGTCCATAGGCAAGAAATGCACATGAATAAATCAGTAAATGGTGCGTGCAAAACAGGCAAAGCCACTAACAGCACTCAGACGTGACAGGCACAGCCAGCCAGGCAGCTCTCTGAAAAGTTACCTGTTTGTACATGCAGCTAATGCAGACTCTCAACTAAAATGAGAGCTGAAAAAACAGGAAAATACAATGTGACTTGGTGAATACAAAAGTGAACCGAGCAAAAGCAGTAGAAGAACCATCAGGCAGAGGGTAGCTAATGAAATCTCTGAACAATGATGTAATTAAAGTGCATTAATCACAATAAAAGATCATTTCCCTTTAAACATCTGCTCCTGTTCACTTGGCAACAGCCTGGGCAGTGTCATGAATGATGGGGGTTTGGATTATGCTGAAGGGCATGTGTTATCTGAGAAACAAGGTGGAACAGCCCCATCTTGACAGGATCTGGGGCAGCAGTGCTTCCCCTCAGTGCAGGGATAGCACTGAGGAAGGGGAAAGAAATGAGATGGTGCTCAGAGTGGGAAGGAAAAGCTTCTGTAAAATGGAACCCCACCTTCTCAGCCATGCAGACAAAATTTAATTGGGTGCTAGTGGATTTGAATAAACGAATTCTTAAAATCTTTGGGGAAAAAAGCCCCTGCCCACTCTGCAGTTTCCAGAGAGCATTAGGAGCCATAGCTCATACCTTGTTCTGCCCCACTGAGAACCACCACAAAATTCTCCCTGAGCCCTTTCTCTGTGGCAGCCTGGCTGTGCCAGCAAGAGAGTGCTGGCTTTTCTGGAGAAAAAGCTCTGGCACAAGTTCAGTGTGCAGAGGAAGGGCTGTGACCATCCCTGACTCCCTGCAGTGCTTTGGTACAGATGGAGCAGAGCTTCCTGCAGGCCTGAGTGAAGCCTCTCATGAGCTGTGTTCTGAGTTCAGTGAGGAGTCATGCACTGTTGTTTCAGGTCTGGACTGTGTCCCTTGAGTAGGATTTTTTACACCTGAGGAATATTTTTTTGTATCTTTGCACACATCTGCCTCCTTATTGCATTTCCACTGGCTGTGGGCACAATTGGTGGCCCTGTGCTTCTGCATTTTCAGCTTGTCTGCACCTAAGGCAGGGAGGGGAGCCAGCTGTGCTCCTCTTACAGGGACCCATCTGAAGGTGGAACCCTTTGAGACCCTCTAGCAGCAAAGATGCAGCTGGCAGAGCAAGGCTGATTTTTGTGCTGCTCTAGTTTCCTTAGCAGATCTGAAGCAGGTAGCTCTTGGGGACAAAGGGATGACCCAAGTGTGAGATCCAGAGCATTTCTACCACACTGGTCATTCATAGTCTCCTTCATGGCACATACTTGGGAAGCCTTTACCAGCCTCTGGAACTGAGGCTGTGTTGGTGATGAGATACCCACATGGATTTCCAAGGGAGGCAGATCCCAGATCCCACCTGGAGAGAGGAGGATTGGGTTTGTGGGCACTATACATAGTTATGCCTCTTCATTTCAGCCTATTTTTGGTAATTCTATGAATTCACAGAGGGTTCTTTTTTTTTTGTTGTTGGTTGTTGGTTTGTTTTGGTTTTTTTTTTTTTTTTGGTCTGGGCTGCTGTCAGGTAAGAAAATGAAAATGAATTTAGCTTTGGTTTTGCTGTTTAGTTACAGATTAAATGATCTGGTTTGTGCTTGTTCTTAACAATACTTGTCCTCCCTCACAGGCTTTATAAAAGGGATTGGGGAGGTTCAGATAAAAAGGATGTGGTTTTCTGTTTCTCAAAGCTGGTAAAGCCATACAGGGGTATTTAAACAGAAAATCAAAACAAACCCCTTGGCTTCTCCCAGAACACATAGATGGGTATTGCAGCAGCCTGACGATTTCAGCTTTGTGTGCTGCTCTCTGTAACTCTGGGGTGTTTCAGGTGTGCTGTGGGTTGTGAGCAGCCAGGTGCTGCCTGCCCAGTCCAGCCCAGGGATGTGCCAGCTGCCTTGGCAGGCACGCTCAATGATGAGGGAAGGAGCCTGAGCCAGCTCAGCCAGGATCCACTCACCACACGTTCCCTCTCCCCCATCAGCTCCTGCTCTGCCCAAGAGCACAGTTATGCTTTCCCCTAACAGCCCTAATTCCACCCAGTGATTTCAGGGAGCTGAGCTGAGGTTGTGCTCTGTGTGGCCACAGAAAGCAAAGAACAGCACAGAATCTTTGAGTTCTCTCTTCTGGGCTTGAACCAAAAGCTGCAAGTTTAGTCTTGGAAAATCCAAATAGGTTTCCATTGCATTGTGTGTATTTACAAAGAAATAAAGACATTTAATTGAGAGATTTAGCTCCAGGTTTTCTTTGCCCAGTGGGTTCTTCAGTTCTAGATGCAGGCATTGGTTACACAGGGAACAAGGAGAGATTATTACATTATGGGAGTAAAGGTTTCAAGGAAACCTGCCCTGCATAAAAGGAGTTGTGCAGGTATCAAATGTACCAGACCTTATTGTACTCACCCCATTGTCTTCACCAAAACATAGGTGTGTAAATCTGTGCACTTAATGACATATTTTGTACCCATCCAAAATATCCAACGCTTCCAAAGGAAGCAAGCAGTTGAACAGGTCTGTAGCTGCAGGTGGGCACATGAATTGAAAATGGTGGTGTGTACAGGAATACACCTATTGATTTTGTACATAAGGTCTGAAATAAGGATTTAGTCCTTGTTTCTGGGCTGTTCATGTAAAGCAGAGGTTGTAAGCTGTCATGGTGGTGTAGGTCATGTGCACACATGAAGAATTGTGTTTTTCTTCAGAGATGCAAGCCCTGGATGTTGTTTATTTGAAGTTTTTGGTTGCTTCAGAGAAGGTTGCTCATGTGAAAGGGACTGTCCTTGTATCACTGCCACCTAATGGCCAGGACATTGAACTGGGGTGTCTGGTTTGGGTGTCCCCTGGAAAACTGATCCTGTCACCAGTCCTGACTTTATTACCTTGTAAGACTCGTTAATGATCTTAACTCAGCTTCATTTCAGCCTGTTACAGTCTGCTCTGCAGCCTCACTGGACACTGGGGTGTGTATTCTTGCTTTGATGGCGTATGAGAGATCTGGAATTTTGTTTTTGTGTGGCAAAATCCAGGCAGAAAGGGAAATCGTTAATCAGATGGGTGTAATCTCCAAGGAAGCAAGTACTGCATTTTAATTCAGCATTTCCCTTTGATGAAAACTTTAGTGAATGTTATTATGTGGAATTTATATGAAGCCTGGGTTTAGGTAATCAGCTTTAATATTTATACTCTTAGGGAAAAAAAAAATTGAATCATTAGTAAGCATGCATAATTAATGAATAAATTGTATTTTTCCTTTGTTTTCCTTCAGGTATAAGGAAATGCTAGATCTAGTGATATCACCCAGCCTGACTGTAAATAGAGAGTGCCCTGACAGACTGAAGCTTAACCTTTCTCACATTTATGCCACGGCTCCAGATGACATAGAAGGTAGGCTGCTCTTCTGCTTGCTGTTTGCTGCTTTAACATAAAATAAATGAATATAGGTTACCAAAGGGAGCTGGCCACTGCAAGGCCTCTGCTTCTGGCAATTAGTTCTACAGTATAGTGAGCAACTGAGATTTTTGAGGGTTTGTTGGTTCTTTTTGTATACTCACCAGTTGTGGTTGAATCCTTTAGTTCTACAATGGCTTGAATGCAAATGGAATAGAAATATTTCATATGTAAATCTCTATCTGTGTATAGCTGGTGCCTGCATTTACACCCATGCATGTGCAGATTTTTGTTCCACTGGAGGAATTGCAGGTGTAAACTGTATTTTGTGTGGACCTGGTAGTTTTTGCTGGAGCCCCAGTGGTGGTGTGAACGTGAGTCCTGGGCTTTGGTGGCTGTGCTGCTGTTAATGTGGGGGCTCCCAGGCCCAGAAATGTATTGAGCAGCCTGAAAACCTCCTGCCAAAGCAGCTCTGTGCCCAGTTTGCATCGCTCTGAGACCACTGCTGCCATCCCCTAATGGTTTTAGCCCTGCTGGCCCCTGCTCTGGAGTTTCACATTTGGCAGGTACCAGGGACAAATTCTTTCAGTGGTTGAGGCTCTGATGGAAATTTATCTGCTCTCCTCCTTCTCCCCCCTGCCCCATCGTACTGTTCAAGTGAAGGAAACAGAAGAATGTTAAATCTGCTAAAAAAATTATTGGCAAGTGATGCAGCTGAACTAGTTCTTGCTAGTACAATCCCAGCTATTGTTTGCTGCGGTCAGGATCTGTCAGCCTTCCTGTTAGAGGGGAGGTAGGAAAAGGCACTGGCTATTATGTTTTAGGAGTATGTTTAACCCTTCATTTAGAGGCTCTTGGAAGGCCAGGGGATGTTTTGTTTGCATGTTTGCTCAGGCATTAGGAATTGCATGGTTAAATCACGCCCATAGTGGCTGCCTATTTACAAGAGCAGCAGAAGGAATTACAGGAAACATCCTTTTAAATGGTCCTGTTTGCAGAAAAGATTACAGCTAGAAATGATTTTTAGGTACATCTATTTGTAAAAGTCTTGGTGCAGGAACTGTTTTTTGTTATGGGGTGTAAATAAGAGCCAACACAGGAGCACCACTTTGCCAGCGACAGCTCACATTGATTTGTTTCTTATAGAAATATTATGATGTTTTTTCTACAGGATGATCCCCTGTGCTACCAAGATTGTGCTGTTTCCCTTGAAAATACTTGTGGTTAATTTGAAGAACAGGAAAATACTTGTGTGTTTGAAAATGCTCAGACTGACAGAGCTCTTCATATAATAAATGCACACAAATTTATGCCCTGTATTACACATAAAGTATTTAATTTAGCAAGCCTAGTCGTGGTACTTACTCATTTAGATGTCCATGTAGGTGTCTGATCTGTTGTTTTCATGGGTGCTTGTCGTGAGATGTGCAGTTATATCAATATAATTTTCAATATAATAGAAATATTATATGTATAAAATATATAATTTGCACATTTTGCCTGTAGGATCAACTTTGCCTTTTCTTGTCAGTGACAGTAGCATATTGCATATTCACACACAGTAAATTCCTACTTGGAATTCTTGGCAAACTTATTTACTCTGTACCAAAATAAAAATTTGATGCTGTGGTGTTTTTCAAAGAGAAAAGAAATGAGGTTTGTGCTCAAACTGTTCTGCTGGTTTTTTGATGTAAAACCCATTAAGAATTAAAGAAATTAATTGTAAAATGTCTGTTTCTTCAGTGCAGTTCTGTTTGGTAATCAGTTACAGACAGAAATGGTGTAATTCTTGTTTTCACAGTCTGAAAATCTAATTTTCTAAACTTTTGTCTTTCAGGTAAGTCAAAGCAAATTTTTCATAGTGAGTTTGAAAGTGACTCAGGTAAGCCCAGTTTTGGATTTAAACTCAGTCTTTTTTCTGTGGATGTGTAAGTGAATAGATATGTGTGTATAAATTATCGTTTGTCAATAATATGTGCATTTTTATAACACTGTCCTTTGTCAGTATTTTAAAGTAAACCTCTCTGCCTGTTGCTTGGGAAATAGGGTGGTGTACCACAGTTTATAGGTACAGAAAGCAAGGTAGGGTTGCAGGTGGGTTTTACTTTTCTGAGGTGTGGGAGGGTTGCAGGAGTTTGAAGAGTCTTTCTGGTTTTGTTTCTGTCACTGATTAAGGTGATCCTGTCAGTGATTATACATGTAGGGGTTTCACCATTAATTACATAAATTAACATTCTAAAAAAAGAATGATACCTAGTAATTAATATTTCAGCAAGTACTCATAATGATGCAATTGTTATTGAAATTTAGTCTAAAAAGTTACCAAATGAAATGGCAGTGTTGTTAAAAATAGTTTGATGTAATCTCCGTGTTATAGCATAAAATGATCAAGCCATGTAAAATGTTGTGCAAAAAGGTTGTGTGTGAAAAAAAAATTCAAGAGATCAAATCAGGAAGAACAAACATTTCAGATGAGAGCATGTTGGATCTTTTTGGTCATTCTGTCCATGTTTGCAGCACAAATTACCCAAACCCATAGAACTGTTTGTGTGCATTTAGAATTTATATGTACTTGCATATTTCATTAAATGAAAAATGGTGTAAATATTTAATTTGCCAGCTGACCAATGTCTGAACCAAGGAGGTTGTGCTGCTTTGGTCACTGGAGGTGGCTGCAGAAGCCCTGTGCAGTGAGTCTGGTGTGTGCAGTGATGCACAGCAGACACAGAGCCTGAATCAGTTGTGGCTTGTCATTATTGATGATTGTGAGAGTGTTTTGGCATTTGTAGTGCTGAATTAATGACAGCTCCAGCCAGGAACCGAGGAGCAAAGTTTGGATGGCACTGTGGAGGCAACCTGCAAAATGTACACGGTGGTATTTTGGTATGACATTTTCAGTACAACTTGCAGGTTTTAATTTAGCTTTTTTTGTTTTGTTTTGTTTTGTTTTTTGTTTTTTTTTTGGTTTTTTTTTTTGTTTTTGTTTTTCCTTTTAGTTTTTAATTTTATAAATATAAATTTATCTCTGAATAAAGCTGGTAGCACATTTTTCTTTGGTAGTGTTACAGCACACAGTTGTTTGGTCCATTAGAAGGCATATTGCACATATAACTCGCATGATAGGTTTTCTACTGATGTAATTTTTTCATTGCTGGTAGTTCAATAAGGTATGCTATAGTTAACTCAAAAAATTCAAATTAAGGAGATTTATAATGTTGTATATTTAATATTTACTATTATTTGATATATTTTAATGGACATTAAAGAAAGTGAGTCATGGTCTAGGAGAGTACCAAAAAAAGCAAAAGATCAAAATGTGCAGTGAGCTTAAATCACTTCAGCAATCATATTATTGGCTTTTATAGCCTTTAGCATATGAGTCATTGCTTCAAAGCCCAGCTTCATGACTGATATCAGTCCCATGAGAAGAAGAAATTGGTAGTTCAATCAACTGGTATCACCCTCAGTTAAAAACTAAATCTGTATTTGTTGTGAAGCAGAGAATATCTTTCTTACCTACCTCTGCTTGTGAATATTAACTGAAAAATAAAAAGTCTTTTGATTCCTGTGTATTTTTCTCAAACCAGCAGTGGTATAAACAATTGTACCAGCTTGGCCACAGAACAGAAGACAATGAAAATCTAAGATCCTTTAATTTTGTTTTCCAGGCAGCAGCAAAGCAGCACCGCAGTGTCCTCTCCATCTGTACACCACAAAGTGAGTGCTCGTGCCAAGGGCTGTAATTTAAAATCCCTGTTTTGCTGAACAGCCATTTTGTGCAGACTTCTGTCACCTTAAAAAACATCTGCCCTAAGCCCATCCACCTGTTCCCCCACACGTCTCTGGCACAGGGAAGGAGCTGGTTCTTAATCTGCTTGGATATGGAGTGAAATAAGGTTTGAGGTACTGTGAACTGTGTTTTTGTGCCTCTGGGTACCCAAACCTTATCAGTTTGAATATTGTTATGTTTATGAGTAACCACAGAGGGGATGTGTCGAAATGTCTGAGGTTTCCCATCTCACTCACTTCTTCGGCAGACTCAAAATGAAACATGAAAAATCAGTGTTGATTTTATTTTATTTTTTTTAACTTGCATGTATTTTGCACTGTCTTAAAGTCACCATGCATTTAGGTGGCTTAATCTGATAGTTCGTGAAACAAACTTCTGCTTCAGTCCACTCAATTCCAATTCCCAAAATATTCAGCATCCTGTGTTGAATGCTGTTTTAGCGAGATATCTAGAACTGTTCTGCTTGTGCTCTAGAACTGCATGTGCAGTAACTATTGCCTTAAACCCTTCTGTTTTCTTGTTCTCAATAGACATTATCCCCACATAGTGACAGTCCCGTCCTTCCCCACGATGGCAGCCTATGGACAGGCTCAGTACAGCACGGGAATCCAGCAGGCTGCTGCCTACACTGCCTATCCCCCTCCAGGGCAGCCCTACGGGATCCCCTCCTACAGTGAGTACCCCACAGTCCTGCTGCCTCTGAGGGCATCATCCTCCTGCTGCTGGCAAAATAGATTTGGGATCTTCAAGTTTTACGCTGAAGTGTCATTTGTGTCTCAGCAATGTTGTCTTCTTACGCTTAGAGGAAAGTCTGACTTGGAAAATGTTGGGTTTCCTTTGAACGTTATCAGCTTTAAACCTATCAGCTCGTCATATCATGGGTTATGTTTTTGCAAAGTAGGTAAGTTTGGAGCCAGTCAGTTGTAGACTATGAGAAATTCAGGTTCACTAGGATGTGCCACTTAGGAGTAACAGCTCGTGGGTGTTCCCATGATCCACTGTCAAGACAAAGTACAGTAAATATGATATTTATGAAAACTACATAGATATATGAAAACTATGCTTTGCCAACCTTGATTCTTCCTGAGATTTCAATAACACAAGCTGCTTCAAGAAAATTTCTGTGTATGTTATTACAGAAGAACCGAAATGCAGAGCAGAATAAGGCATGGGTGAGATGTTAGAGAGTACCTTGGTTTTGGAAGACAGTTTGTGTTTAAATGGACACTTGCTGCCTGTATGTGCAGTCAGCATTTCTAACCCCAGTCAGCTTTGCTCCCTGCTTTTCTGCACAACTTGCCAACAGCTGTGGGGAGACAGTGCTGGGCAGGAGCAGCTGGGGCAGCTAATTAAACCAGCACTCCTGACAGAGGAATGCCTGCTACACCAAGCTTTAAGTGTCCTCGAGTTCTGCATGGGCATACTGAGCTCTTGAGGAAGCTGAAATTTCTTTCCACTCCTAAAGACCAAAGAGATGTTGCTCTTATTTAGGTGCAGCTCTTTAACAGAAAACTTTGGGCTTCCTCCTTCTGGCTGCTCACATGAGGGCTGAGTCTTGCACCATTAAAATGGTTTCATAGTTTTGTTTCCACTCCTGTTTTCTCTTGTGCTCCTTAACACCTTTGTTTACTTGGCAAATACAGGATCTCTTCCCAAGAGATAGTTTTTATACAGACAAAGCTTTTACTGAAGGGGAATTTCATGCAGCACACTGGAAGGCTGGGGAAGTGGCCTTGGCAGAGCCAAAGCTCTACCAGGATGATGAGAGGAATGTTCAGAGACCCTTTCTGGAGCTGTTTGTGTGTTTGCATCAGCTGGCTGACTTCCAAGGAAAACTCTGAGCAGTTGTCCTGTTAGAGCAGGTGAAAGCAGAGCCATTTGCTACTGCCTAGAGGCTTTAGGGCATACATGTGTCAGGCCCATATGCTGCTTATAAATCCTGTGGGTGACCTCTTAGCATCCTTGAGCACTGATTTCCCTCCCCCAGCCTGTACACCCTCTCTAAGATACTCAGCACAGCATATGACAAACTCCACCTGGCTGACAACCAAGAACAATGAAGCACTATTGTTTTTAGGCACAAAAAATAAAACTCGGCCAGCTCCTAGACAAAACAGAACATTATGTGGAAATTAATTTGGTGCTAAGGTATTTTGCTGTCTGACAACAATTTTTAGGCTTCCAAAGAGGCCCATTTGCTGGAGATTAATTGTAGCTGGGGTGGGCAGGTTGAGTGCTGGCCTGTGGAGTGCTGATGGAATAGAAAAGCACAGGATGTTGGGGAGAGGGGCTTCTCTGCACACTCTTCTCCTCTCCAGCAGTGATGAAGCCCCACACTTGCACCAGAATTTGTCCCTTCACTGTCCAAATAAACTTCCTGCCTTTCACAGTCATCTTGTGATGAGCTTGTGCTCAAATTGCATCACAGTTCTTCTCACCGAAACCTATAATAAGTGATTTTTATTAGAGAAAACATTATCTGGGAGAACTTACTCCAAACCTGAGCAAGCACAGACTTGCTGCTTCTAGTCAAGCTAGAAATGAGCATGTTTGGGGAAAGGCACCTGAATTCAACTTGTCTACAAGTGCTAAAAGATGACAACAGCATGGAAAGTGTGTAAATCCAGTGTCCAAACATCAGCAAGGTCTTTTTTTAATCCCAGCACCCAGGGAGTGTCCATTGGCCATCCTTTGTTGTGCAAATAGGATGCAAAGGAGGGAAGGATCACGCCCAAAGGGTTCATAATGTGTTGCACCTTTGAGCTGTTTATTTTAATAATACAGCTGTACAATCTCAGCAGCATCTCAGAATAAAATATCAACTCCTTTCATTACCAGCAAGGGTTTCATCTTGCAATGTTTAATTCAGCTATTGCTGTTCCCCCTGTAAATTGTCATTTTAATTGCCTAGTTTTAGAAATGAAAAGATATTTGTGGCTTCAGGGCTTACCTGTTGTTCCTGAACTGAATGTTATATCCAACTGAGTAGATGATAACCCTCCTGTAGGACTTGCCAATAAATGTTTTGATACCAAAGCTGAAAATACAATGCAAGTAAAAAATAACTCTTTTGAGAACAGAAATCTTGAGGTTATTTTGCTGAAGGTCCTGTTCCATTGTCAATCATTGCTTGCATCTGATAACCCTTCAGGAAGTTTATGTGTCAGTTTCTTCAATTCTACAAAAAGAGTTTCTTCAATTCTGTAACCAAACTATATCTTCAGAAATTGCTCTTGAGAACAGTATTATTCATGGTTGTTTACCCATCTTAGCAAAAGTTCTTTTGGTTGTAGATACAGGATATAGCTGGCTCAAATAAATTAATAAATCACAAATAAAATTTGGATTAATTTGTTTGGCTGTTAGGAGACCTGTTTGGGTAATGCAAATAATTAAAACACACACACACACATATATATCTATATCTCTATATATTATATTATATTAATGCATAATATAACTGATATATATATCACATATACATATTAGATAGATATTTCTCTAACATATAGATATAGATATATCTATAACACGTATACCTATAACTGATATATATATATATATATATCACATATACATATTAGATAGATATATCTCTAATATGTGTATGTGTGTAAAATAAAGTGTAAAAAAAGAGCGCTTACTAGGTTAAAATCCAGCTGAAAAATCGTTAATGGACCTCATGGTACATGCTGAAGACACCTGTGTTGGATGTGGCACCAAAAAAAAAAAACAAAAAAAAAGAAAGAAAAAGGAGTCCTGTGGGTTTGGGGTTTTGGTCACTTGCTTTTTGTCCATGTTTCCATGCCAAGCACTCATGTTTTGCTCTTGGCTCCCCAAGGCATTAAGACCGAGGACAGCCTGAGCCACTCTCCAGGGCAGAGCGGCTTCCTCAGCTACGGCTCCGGCTTCAGCGCGCCCGCGGCGGGGCAGGCGCCCTACACCTACCAGATGCACGGTGAGTGAGCATCTCCTGGGCATCACAGGGCCACCTGGGCACTCACAGGGTCACCTGGGCACTCACAGGGTCACCTGGCGTAAGAGCCGAAATGAGGGATGTGGGACTCTAGGGGCTCTCCAAAATGCAGAAACCCAAGGTTTCACAGCAGTCCAGGGTTGTGGGTGACAGAGCTGTGCCCACAGCTGTCAACTCCAGCTGCAGGCAGGCCTGGAGACTCTTTGGTTTTGTCTACAATGCTTTATATACTTTTCTTTTGGTTACAATGCATTCTATACTTTTCTTTGCTGAGCTCTTAATGCAGTAGAACCAATCTATACCTTAACTATTATCTATAGCCTATCATAACTTCTATAATTACCATATTCATGTTACTGTTCTCCAATCACTAAAAGTACATTACAGTTGAAGCTAGAAGTTGTTTTTCAGTTTTCTTGTAGTGGCAAATTCTGAGACCTTTTTTATACTTGCAACATTTGCTGGCTTGTTTGCCTGTGCTATCTTTCTGCTTGGTAAAAACATCTTGTTTGGGGTGGGTTTATCCTTTGTTCTAAGCCATAAAATTCCCTTCTAACTAACACACCCTCTGCCTCCTTGGTTATCCAGTAAGACTGGCTCGGCAATTCTTTTCTTCTATATCAAAACTTGCTTCCATCTCTATTCCTTCATTAGACTCTTCATTTAAAAATCTTTCTGCTAAGCATACATATCTGTGGGACTTCTTGTCAAACTTTCATCCTTCCCACCAACCTGGGGCACTCGCAGCCCTGTGCTGGACCCATTCTCCTCCTGCAGCTGCTGTGGAGATCTTCTAGGTGCAGGCAGTCAGCACAGGGAAGGAGGTAAAGTCTCTGCTTGATCTGTTTTGCTCATCAAGGCATTGATTTCTGGCTGAGGGACTGGATTTAACAGTCTAATGTCCTAGCAGAATTCCACCTATGATCAATATAAGCTTTGTCTTTCTGCAGAAACTGTGTTTTCTTTCTCTTGATTAGTTCTGTGACTGCATACCTGGGATTGTTCTGTTGGTGTGAGTTCCTGCATTCTGATGGAAGCAAAACAAAGGTGGTTTTACACTTCATGCAAGCAGTCCTGTCAGTATTATGCTTCTTTCTGCCTTATGCTGACCTGAACAAACTGCTCTGTGCTTAAACTGCTGCATATTCTCCCTACTAGTATTTATTTAACAGCCTGATACTTTGATACTAAGAAAAATGAGAGTGACTCTGCTTGAGGAGAGTCTGCACACGAGGATAAAGCACTGTGTTGGCTTTGTCCATCCCTCTGAGATTTTCCAAGGGTTGGAAAACCAAAGAGGAATTACATGGCTTTCCCAAACTCTTGCAGAAGCTGTGGAAGGGGAGAGAGATCAAGTCCATCAGTTTGCTTTTTGGTATTGTTGAGGCTTTTATGCAAAAAGCCCTTTTGTGACATTATACTTAGCTGTTCCATTGCAAAACCGTCTTTTAATTATTCTCAATGCTGAAAGTGAAAGGTGGGCATACATATCCACTTTTAAGTCTGAGACCAACTAAAATCCTAAACAGTTATGAAAAGAGAGAAAACAAGGTAAAATCCATTTTATTCCAGATATTATCTAAGAAAGATGAAGACTAAGAGTTCACCCTTGGCTGAGCCTTCACCTGCTAGTTTTGTTAGAGCACATTATCTCTATAACTAAGGGGGTTTTTGGGGCTTGAATACCTCATAGTACATGCTGAAGACACCTGTGTTGGATGTGGAACCAAAAAAAAGAAAAGAAAAAAGAAATAGGAGGCCTGTAGGTTTGGGATTTTTGGTCACCTGGACTTCTGCCTACTTCTGATCCTACTTCCACATATGTTCTCTTGAGAAGACACTCTTGACTTTATTTGGACTGAGGTTTTTAAGATGTCCCCATTTTCAAGCGGTTTAGATGAGCAAATTTTGTGCATCAGCACTTGAAAATGTTCCACTTGCAAGCAGCAGTGACACATCCATGAGTTGTACCAAGACAGGCTGAGGAGGAGCTGTGTGTGTGAGCATGAATGTGCCCTAGGGCCATGCTGTGATATTAGGAAAAGTCACTTCTCTTCACATATTTATTCCAGGGAGATCATTCCAGCCAGCTCAGTAAGCCTTTAACACCAAAGAAAACAGTTTCTGCAAGTGGCAGGTGCTTTCTCCAAGGCACAGGGAGCTGGACTAAATGTGTCTTCCTGTAAACAAATATTTCCACCCTTCCTCTGCTGGCTTGTGAGAGGAGCAGTGTGAAGCTGCCTGGCTGTGTGGTTTATTTACCTTGCTGAGTGCTAGTGAAAGGTTTGAGTGAGGAGAAGGAGCCTTCCTGTGCTGAGTGCTACTGAGGAATGTGTGCTCAGGGCTTTCCCACGCCACAGCTCTTGGGGGTGGGGAGGTGACCCCTGCCTGTGCCACCAGCCCCAGGGCCACTGGGCTTTGCTGCTGATGGGCTAAAACAGCTCAAAAGGACAAACTTTTATCAATATATTTTTATTAAAAAGTTCAGTGGGGCTTTAAGAGTCAAGCTTCTAACTCCCAGTTCAAGGACAAAATGTTTTCTGCATCATGGAGGAAGAGAGATTGTGAAGAGGGTGATGGTCAGGGGCTCAGCAAGAAAAGGTACCTCCAACTGCTGCTCAGTTTTCTATTATCAAGTGCAAGGAAAAACATTTATTTTTTAAGCTATTCTCTGCAAGTGTTTAAAGAGTTATAGCTCAGGTGCAGAAGTGAAATAAGTTGGTATTGTTTGCCTCCAGTGAGGACCAAATCCCAAAGCAACATAATGATCTCATTTGTGGGTGAGGATGGGTGGTCAGATTGCTCAGCCCTCGTGATTCCTCTTCACTGTCCCCTCAGATGGGAGTTACAGCAGCAAATAAGTGCCCATTGTAGGTGTTACACCACTCACCAAGGAACACACAACCTCTTGGGTGACACATTTTTGTCTCACAGGCTCTAGGACAAAAGCTGTCCTTGGTTGGTGCTGGTTTGTTCCCTCTGGTGTTTGTTTGGCAGCAGCACTGGCAGGCTGTGAGCAGTAAATGGTACCTCTGAAGGCAGATTCTGCTCCCTCCTCAGGTCTGTTTGTTTGCAGTACAAACACAGGTGATGCAGGTGTAAAGGGGCAGCATTCAGCTTTTCATCCTGAACTCCAGCTGTCAGTGGTATCCTGGTCCTTGAGCAAGAACAGGATCCACTGAAGAGCAAGAATGAAGATGTAACTTCCTTTTGGTCAGTAAGTGGTAAAGGAAAAGAGCTATTTTACAGCCAGCCAGAAGGGGAAATCTATTTTCGTGCTTCCCTAGCATGAAACTAAATTGATTGTGGAAGAGTTTGTTAGCCAAATAGCAAATGCAATGTGTCACACATAGATACAAATATAGATGAGATTAGCAAGTTGCATAGTTCATAAAATGACACAAAACCATATTTCAAAGGTGCTGTGGATTGAAATAAAGATTTTAATTGCCAAGTAACAGTGGCTATCATCAGGCTTCAAGTAACATTCAGACTGAATGTGGTATTCATATATTTGCTCTGAAGGAGTGACTTTTTTGCTCTGTTATATTCCTTTTTAACCTGTGTTGTGTACAGGGTTGCTTCATGTCATTATTACATTTAGAAAATTATTTGTTTCATAATGAAGAGATCTGAAATATGCATGTGGCCAGTCTGGGGATGGCACTCACTTTGAGAGTCATGAATCTGGAGAGGAGGTAACAGCTTGCATTTGGTTTTTGCCTTTAAACTGGTAAATTTGTCATGCTGGGAAAGAAATGTTTCTTCAAGGTCCATTTAATTTCTTAATCAATCCTCATGTAAGTGTTCAATTACAGCACCAAATCACCAAACACCCTGGGCTTGATGTTGGAAATATTTGCTTTTTTTACACATTTTTCTAAGTTTACATTTCCTGACAGTTTAGCCATTCAGTGATTTGCTCAGACTTCTGGTAAAATTATTATTCAATGATAGAAACTGGACATGAGACACAAAGATTATCTTCCAGTTCTGCCCCCAAAAACTTACAGTCTTAACTGGCAGCTGAGGAAACTGCTTGTTGCTGAGGGTGGGGGAGAAATCTGTGGAATATAAGAAACTTAGCATTTAGTGAGCTATGTAAAATACAAAGAGAAAATTGTGCCAGCACATTAGCTAGCCCAGAAACCCACCAGTGCTGCAGAGAGTGCAACAACAGCCAGCTTATAGAGCATTTCCTGTGGTTGCAAGAGCATGTGCTACCCCTTGATTGCACATTAGGCCATCTCTTCTCAGCTTGTCATTAATTCCTAGACAATGCCTTGCTCTTCAGTTATAATTGCTGAAATGACAGCTGGCATGAAACTATGAAGTTGCACAACAGTTGAAACTGTGGCCAAAGACCACTGTGGATGCTGTTGTTGGGCAGGAAAAGATTTGACTGCTTTTTTGGGGTTTTTTTAATATCCAAATCTATCTACCCACAAAATACTTTTTACATTACAAAGGAAAAATCAGTTATGTAACTGGGATAACTTTCCTTTGCCAAGGAATTGCAGAACAGTGTTGAGCTTGGGAGAGACATAAATTTGGGACCAAAGACCTATGCAGTGAAATTCTTTGCTACTGCTGAACATTTGTTTTCTTTGCAGAGCCCTTCTGATGAGCTGTGAAGTAGTGAATGAATAGAAATTAGCATTTCTTTTGTGCAACACTGATTTAAAATTGATTAATTATATATATATTGCTTATGTTTGTGGAATGAATTGGTTATGAATTGTTCTCCTGGCCTGAGAACAAGTAAAATCTGAATAATTAATCAATTAAAATGTTTTCTTATGCTGAAAACATTTTGACCCTTGTTGATATCTGGATAATCTAGACAAATTTTTTTCCAAGAGATGCCAGAATTTCTTACAATTGTGTGCCAATTTGTGTGTTAAAAACTCAATACGAGGTCATAAATACCAATTTGGTGTGAACAGTTACCTCTGCCTGCATGAATTTTGCAAAGGAAGTCC